TCTCTCTCTCTCTCTCTCTCTCTCTCTCTCTCTCTCTCTCTCTCTCTCTCTCTCTCTCTCTCTCTCTCTCTCTCTCTCTCTCTCTCAATCTATCTCTATCTATCTATCTGTGTTCACCGTTCTCCACCTCTTTTCAATACTGTGGGTTTTTACACGAGAGTGGTGGTCGACATTACTACCGTCTTCGCCCGAATAGAACGCCCAGTCATTATCGCTGCATCTGGACTGAAAGTTGTGCCAAATGCAGCTAAGACGACCGGGCTTCTATTCAGGTAAAGACGGTAGAGTAATTTGTTCGCCTCTATGTATGATGAAAGTACAGAAGAGGATCAACGAAGACAGAGAGAGAGAGAGAAAGAGAGAGAGAGAGAGAGAGAGCGAGTGAGAAAGAGAGAGAGAGAGAGAGAAAGTACAACGATTTATCCAGAAGATCAACGAAGAGAGTGAGAGAGAGAGAGAGAAAGAGAGAGAGAGAGAGAGAGCATCCGGCCTCAATATCCCATGTGGACCTGTGCTTTCCACTGCCATCGGCATATTGCCCAAAAGAGGGAGAAAAAGACGAGCGAAAACTAGGGCGCACTCACGGTTCGAGTTTCAAAATGCAGTTTACTGTCTTCCCCTGAATACAACGTACGGTCATTAAAGCTGAATTTAGACTGAAAGATACCCCAAATTCAGCTATAATGACGGTACGTTGTTTTCGGGGGAAGACTGTAGGCATAACGCCGAAAAATGTTGAATGTATACAAGCTAGCTTTAGGGTCCGGTGGGGGTGTCTTATGTTCGAGGGATGCCTGAATTGCATTTTCAATCTGTTTTCTTGACTGCACAAACGTTGCCCCCAAAAAACGAACACATCCCCCGAGGGGAAAAAGAAAAAGGACGAAAAAGAAAAAAGGACAAAAAAATAAGGCCGAAAAAGAAAATGAATGAAAAAGAAAATGAAAATGAACGAAAAAGAAAAAGAAAAAGGACGAAAAAGAAAAAGAGGTGCACCATAAACAAAACAAAAAAAACAAAAAAAAAAAAAGAGGTGCACCGAGCCGCACCCAGGAAGCATTGCGAGGCAGCGAGCCACGCAGCTAGATCGCATCAAGTCAGTCGTTGATTGGATGAAGCAAACGCCTCCCAGGGGGGACCCTAATCACCAAACTG